GATTCATTTTTTGTATGCAGATATAGCTAACCCAATTTCATCTAACAATACCTTGATACGCCTCATTTTTTGTGCAGGTATTGAGTGAAGAGTTGAAAGTTGAAGATCCTTTGGATTGGAAACTAAAGGAGTTAAGGAGCAAAGAAGAGTAACTGCACCGGGCGCAAGATGACCCGTGCCGGGCGCAAGAAGAACAGAGTGCCTCATCTTTGCAAGCCATATATGCGCCGGGCGAGAGACTACCCGCATCGGGCGTGATCAAGATAGAGAGTACCTGAAACTCTCTGGAAGACATTGCGTCGGGCGTAAAATGATTTGCGCTGAGCGTGTACTGAGGCAGAAAGTATTTAACTTCCTGGAAGGCCCTGCGCCGGACGCAAAGACTTATGCGCCGAGCGCGTAACCCTAATCTGACTCCCGAAGCTCGTATTTGAAGACATTTTCGAGGTTTTCTTCCTCATTCACACATTGGGCGCGTTTTAGGAGCTGTGGAAGGGATTCCCGGAGCTTGGAGCCGTTCGTGTGTGGGTTTTTCCTTCGGTCCTTCATTTTTCTCTTCCATCTCTATTTTTGCTTTACCCTCATTGTTTTGAGTGGTTCTACCCATTTTTTGTGGGGTTAGATGTAACCAACGAATTCTATTGTAATCCTTACGTTTTAATGATATATATACATGTTGTTTCATTCATTGTTGTGTATGTTTCTATTCTTAATGCTTGCTCTGGATTGATTCTCCTTGCATGATATAGGTTCCATTAGGTATTGGAAAATAACCTTTAAAACTAGCTCTGAAACAAATGCCTAGTGGGAAATGTATCTAGGAATGGAGCTTGGCCCATTAGTAGTCTTAAACCCTAGCCCGTAATGCGAGTGTAGATATTAGGTACTCAAGGAATTGACATTCAATATCCGCACCTAGGCTCTTGTTCTAAGGGATTAGGTTTAAGTAAACTTATAGGTTGAATAAGCAATGTATGTAACAAGAGATTAAGGATTCATTAGTCTGACGTTTGGTAAAATTTGACCCCATAATCTCACAAAACCATAATACCATTTCTAACCCTTCTCCACTCACAAACCAAAATTTTATAGTCTAAACATTCCAATAGTCATAACTTTCAATTTACACTTGCATGAAAAACTATGAAATTAGAATTATTCTTTAGTCACGAATAGTCAATAAATGCTTATGTTACCTTCTAATCCCTGTGGATACGATAATTTTACTACTTGAACGGCCGATATACTTGCCGTGTTTGAGACCGTTGACAAAATAAAAGTAATTTAAAGTGATAACAAAAGTGGTTTTAACAAAAATCTCAACAAAGATGCCTATTGTTGTATTGTTGTAAGTTGCTTATAGTTGTTAAGATGCCTATTGCTGTAAAGTTGTTATGATGCCTATAGTTGTAAAGTTGTCAAGTTGTTTATTGTCGTAAAGTTGTAAAGCTTCTTATTGTTGTAAAGTTGGAAAGTTGGGGACATTTGGTGAAGATATATGTCCTATGTTGAGATACATAGTACTAAGGTGATAAGTTGAAAGTTATTTTAAAGTTGAATCCCTTAGTACTGTGTGGGCGACATGGAAGTAGTCGATCCATGTCATGGTTGAATGACCAATTTGAGTAAGGTATCTAGTTAGAGATGTAGTCTTTGACTAGGTACTGGAGGGTGCATGGTACTTGGAGGAGAGTGGGTGGGCTAACTTCATATGTGGATTGGTGATGCTAGCCAAGGTCGTGGTAGGCTCATACCCAAACCCTTCTGTCCTGACAATAGTACTGGACCTCCGAGTCTAAGTGGCACACTGAGCAATCACCTATTGTTGTCTATACATGGTTCTCTTTAGAGTTCCTAACGCTATTCTATACCTGACCTGGTTGAGATAGGTCAAACGCTGAATTTGATAGGGTTTATGCCACCTAGACTGCTCAACCTCAATTGTTGGAGATCTCCTAGTTGTATATGCGTGATGACGCATTAGTTGATGTTGCATGCGTTATTGTATTCAAGTTGTATATAATGTTGTATGAATGAGTTGATAGTTGAGTTATTGTGATAAATACTATGTTATTATGCTGTGATGAGTTGTTGATCACTAAGACTAGAGGAGAAGTTTTTGAAGTTGCTCATCCCATTGTGCGGATTGAGATAGTTGTGGTACTCTAAGAGCACAATTTGTTTAAAAACCCTCTTTGGAAAGTTGTTCCTCGGAGTGGATGATGTGTTGTTCTCCTCTAGGACTTGGTTGGTCCCGTGTGTGGGTAAGGTCGAGGCACACGTGTATGAAGCGACCATGGTATAGGGGTCAGGCCGAGCTATACCGATTACAAGCGGCCAATTTGAATAAAGTGTGATGTGTTGAAAATGTTGTTGTTATTAGATGATATTGTTTATCTATTGTTGTAGGTGTTATGTTGCTTTATGTTGCAAGTTGAAAGAAGAATTCTATTGTTGTTTATTATATGTTGATGCTATTTTTTTTATGTTTATTGTTGTGAGCTTACCTTAGCGTGTTTTCCCTATGTGGTTGGGACTGCGATGACCATACCTTGGTATACGAGCAAATCGGGATAGGTGTTCTGCTGGACTGGGAGAGCTTCGAGACTCAGGAGGAGGGCTAGCGTTGTAGTTAGTTGATTGGTAGCTTTTGACTACCTAGTTGTTGTATAGGGTATTATTTCCCTACTTTCAGTTGTATATATATTGAGACTTTTTAGTTGTGTATTCTCATTATATATATAATTGTTTAGTGGTGAGATGCTATTTTTATACTTGTATGTGGACGCTATAGACAGTGTGAGACCTGGCGGGTCGTTACACTTGTCAACTGCTCCAAACTCAATTTCATCATCTTCAAGCTCAACTCCTTTAAAAATAAGGAGTTTGAGTAATATTTATGCAAGATGCAATTACTGTGTTGTGGAACTTGAGAAATTTGAAGGCAATTAAAGAAGAAGCTTGGAGGAAGGTCATGCAAGAAGAAATTGATGTAATTATAAAGAACAAGATATGGGAGCTAATTGAGAATTCAAAAGACAAAGAAGTTATTGGTGTGAAATGGGTGTACAAAGTAAAGCATAACCAAGATGACTTGATCCAAAAGAATAATGCAAGACTTGTTACAAAGAGTTATTCACAACAATCTAGTATTGATTTTAAAGAGACTTTTACTCCTATGGCACGTTTAGACACCATTAAAGCTTTAATTTCCCTTGCATCTTAAAAAAGATCAAAATTATTTCAATTGAATGTGAAGCTAGCATTTTTGAATGATGAATTGAAAGATGCTAATATTGAGCAACCTCAAGGCTTTGTCATTGAAGGCCAAGAAGAGAAGATTTATAAATTGAAGAAAGCTCTTTATGGTTTGAAACAAACTCCAAGACCATAATATAATAGTATCGACAGTTATTTCATGTAGAAGGGATTTAAGAATGAGCATACCTTGTATATTAAACAAAAACATCTGATTGATATTTTAATATTGTACTATATATGTATGACTTGATCTTTACTAGAAATAATTTGAAGTTAATTGAAGATTTTAGAAGAGAAATGATGGAGAGATATGAGATGAACAATTTGGACATGTTGCACCACTTTCTTGGAATAGAAATTTACCAAGAGAATGATGGAATTTTTATTTGTCTAAAGAAATATGTTGAGAAAATGTTGAAGAAATTTGGAATGTTTGGGTGTCATCCAACTGACACACCACTAGTTGTGAATGAAAAATTGAATAAGCAATTATAGAAGCCTAGTTTGTAATTTATATTACCTCACTAATTCAAGGCCTAATATCATTTTTGCAACAAGCAGTTTAGTTTCTTGGTTCATGAATAGTCCAAGCCATATCTATCTATGTCCAATGAGGGTGTTAAGATACATTCAAGGCACTTTGAGCTATAAAAAAAACATGACAATAAAATTGAAGCAATGTTAGTCGGCTTTTGTGATAGTTATTGGGCAAAATGCATGGATATATGAAAAGCACTCATGGATATATTTTTTCACTTGGCTTAGGTGTATTTTCATGGTGTGCTAAGAAACAATAAGTTGTGTCTTAATCCCCTATATATAGAGGCTGAATATGTTTCAACTAGCTTAGCAACCCAACAAGCAATTTGGTTGAAGAGAATACTTGAAGATTTTAGTGAAAATCAAGATGTTGTAATTATGCATTGTGATAATAAATCAGTTATTGTTATGGCAAGAATCTAGTGTTCCATAAAAGAACAAAGCACATAGTCATTAAACATTATTTTATTCGTGAAGCAAATGAGAAAAAGAGGTGAAATTGGAGTTCTATAAATCTAATGATCAACTTTATAGTATTTTTATGAAGACTTTGTCAAGAGACAAAATTTCAAAAAATAAGAGAAACTTTAGGAGTTCAAGAACAATATATTAAGGAGGAGAATGTTGAGTAATGTGTTGTCATAAGTGTTTAATGTTGTCATAATATAATGTTATATGTGCACTCATAAATCACATTTAGTAGTATTAACGTGACTCTCTTTACAATTCACAAAAAAAATGTAACTCTCTCTTCACATTTATACTTGTTATAACATTCTAAGAATTGATTTCGGTCTATAAATTACTGTAGAAAAAGTAGAAAAAAATATATAATAAAATTGAAAGCAATATTCGATCCCATATTATCTTTTTCTTATTCTAAATTTTCTTTGCACAATTTTACACAATTTTATAATAGTAAATTCCTTGAGTGTAACATCATCTAGCTAGAATGCTAGCTACCAGCAGTTATTGATACTTGGATCTAATTTGACCATAAAATTGAAGCTTGCCTTGGACAATCTAAATCATGGCATATATGAGCCGGTTACAGCCCGATTAATATTTGCAGATTTTAGTGAAAATTAACAATCTAGAAAATAATGGTCGAGGATCTTTTCACAATTTAAGCAACCAACTACGCATATAAAAAAAATAAAAAATAAAGTAAAATAGAGCATTGATTGTGGGTAGCTTACTTGTAATCGAAGGACTTTATTCCCGATATATTGCCAGCCTTCTTCAAAGCATGTCTCCAGTTTTGCACTGAGGTCAAATTATATTTCTTTTCATGTTCATCAAGAGCTTTTCCATAAGTCCCCTTTTGATGTCGTACATATGTGGGATTTACATGGTAGAAAACAGGTATTACAGTTTGGTTGTATTTCTCCCTGCACTCAAGTATTTTCACAAGTTCTTCCAAACACCAACGTGAAGAGGAATAGTTTCTAGAGAATATAATCAACGAAATCAATGATCCTTGAATTGCTCTAACAATTGAAGGCCATATTTCATCCCCCTTCTCAAGTTTAGTATCTACAAAGGCAGATATTTGCTTTTGATGAAAAGACTCAGTCAAATAACCAAGAAAACCGCGACGAACGTCCTCGCCCCTAAAGTTAACAAAAACGTCATACTTTATTTGAGGAATGCTATCTGACATTTGCTTTGATGCACACCCTGACAATCCCGAAATAAGTAGGAGACAAAGAGAGAGAACATGTTTTATTTGAGAAGATCCTGAAGAAGAATGTGCCATTAAATTGGAACAAGCTCTTGATCTTTCTGTCTCAGCTGTATATTGATTATCACGATACAATGAGCACAAGGTAACTGGAAAGCAAAGAAGGAGAAAATAAACAAAAAGATATCAATAAAGAAGTTGAAATACAAAACCAAATTTCCCTACTTATTAAATATTTTGGCATTTCATTTTTTAAAGTGTTTAAATTTAAATAAGTACCGATCTTCAATCGGCTCGACCCTCTCATCTTGATCCATTCGAGGGTCGAAGTCTACAACCGTTTCGAGGTCTTGGGCTACCGAATGCACGCGTTTCTCTCGACTCGGCTCGGTTGCTCCGAGGCGGGGCAACCGGAGACTAGCAAAATAACATTCCCTAACCTGTTGAGGGACGGTCTTCCAAGAAGAATGTTATATGACGTGTTAGCATGCACAACCACGTATTTGATCGGGATGTCTTTGACTTCGGGTCCATCGAAAGAAAAACGAGTGGATAACTTGATGTATCCTTTCGTTTGTACACGCTCACCAGAAAATCCAACCAGCGGCTCATTGTATGGGATCAGTTCGGCTTCCGAGATGCCGAGTTGCTTGAAGGTATTCCAGTAAAGGATATCGGCCGAACTTCCTTGATCGACCAATGTCTTCCGAGGGAGGCCAAACCGGTCGCCCAACGTAAGAGAAAAATGGGGGAAGAAAGGAAAAAGGCGGTTGAAGCCGAAATGTCTAAGCTCCTTGAAGCAGGTTTCATTCGAGAAATCCAATACACAACATGGCTGGCCAACGTTGTCATGGTCAAGAAGTCGAATGGCAAATGGCGAATGTGTACTGATTACACAGATTGAAACAAAGCCTGCCCCAAAGATGCTTATCCGTTGCCAAACATAGACCGATTGGTGGATGGTGCAGCTGGTCATAAGTCCCTAACATTCCTCGATGCATACTCGGGCTACAATCAAATTCGAATGTACCCCCGAGACGAAGATAAAACGACATTTGTTACAGAATCTGCCAATTACTGCTACCAAGTAATGCCATTCGGCCTGAAGAATGCTGGGGCCACATATCAAAGGGTCATGGACAAGATCTTCGACAATCAAATCGGGAGAAATATGGAAGTTTACGTGGATGATATGGTTGTCAAATCGGCTGACACATTTGCCCATGTAACCGATCTCGCCGAAGTTTTCCGGGCCCTTCGGAAACATCAGATGAGACTTAATCCCGATAAGTGTGTATTCGGCGTCTCAGGCGGCAAGTTTTTAGGTTTCATGCTGTCAAGTCGGGGCATCGAGGCTAACCCGGACAAATGCCAAGCTATCATCGACATGAGGAGTCCATCGAACTTGAAAGAGGTCCAAAAGTTAGCTGGTCGACTAACAACTTTATCCCGTTTCCTACCATGCATGGCCGAGACTTCCAAGACGATCCTTGGCCTTTTGAAAAAGGCAAACAGATTTCAATGGACAGAAGAATGCGAAGTATCTTTTCAAATTTTCAAGAAATGCCTCGGCACTCCCCCGGTATTGACAAAGCCAACATCAGGCCAAGAACTAATCTTGTACTTGGCGGTTTCGGGCGAAGCCATAAGCATCGGC